TCCCGAGGCGGTGGCATCCGCTGCAGAATCTCCCGAGGTGGTGGCGTCTGCTTCTGAATTCACAGTCTGCCCCGTCACGGCCAAAGAAGCCATTCATGAACTTTCTGCATGTCCTGTCACGGCCAAGGAGGCCATCCATGAGCTCTCTGCCTGTCAGATAAAGGCCATGGAGGCCATATCTGAGCTCATCGCCTGCCCCGTTATGGCCAAAGATGCCATTTCTGAACTGACCACCTGTCCTGTTACGGCCGCAGAGGCCGCTGTTAACCTCGCTGTGCTCTCTCTTTCAGTCCCACTTGAGCCGCCTTGGTGGATACCTGCTTTGCTGTGGTGGTCATCTGTTGCATTGTGGGGATCTTTGCTCCTGCCTGTACTGTTGATCTGGTGGTCCTCTGCTCCGCCATGGCTTCCTGCTCCTCTGGATCTGACCTGTTGGTCTCCTGCTCCACTATTCCACAGCCTGCCTCTGATCCACGGCCCAGGTCCTCCATTGTTCCACTGTCTGCCACTATTCCATGGCCCAGGACCTCCATTGTTTCACTGTCTGCCACTGTTCCATGGCCCAGGACCTCCATTGTTTCACTGTCTGCCACTGTTCCTTGGCCCATGGTTTTGCCCTCTGCTCCACGGCCCAGGCCCACCACTGTTCTGCAATTTGGACCCTGTTCCCCTGCATGGGCCTGGCCCTCCATCCCTCCGCCCTGTTCCACCTCCGCTCTACCACCCTCCTGGACTTGTTTGGGTTTGGTTTAGGTGTCTGGAGCCGCCCTTAGAGGGGGGGATATGTAATGTGGGTTTTTGTTTCACGTTCATGTTTTCATGTCTTTTATTTTGGAGTTTAGTCATGGTCCCTGTTTAGTCATGTGATTCCCTTGTCTGTGTGTTATGTTCTGATTGGTTCATGTGTCTTGTTTCTCATTGGTTGGTTCTTGTCATGTGACCCTCATTGTTTGATATAAATAGCCCTCATGTTGCCTTTGTTCTTGGTCTAGCTTTAATGTTGTAACCTGCTGTCGGTGAGTCTAGTCTGTTCACGCCAAATCAAGTCTGTTCACGTCAAGTCTGTTCATGTCAAGTCTGTTCAAGTCATGTCAAGTCTCTGTTTGGATTATGTTTGTATTTTGGATTACTTTTGAATAAACTGCACATGGGTTCTTCAACTACGCTCACCTCAGTGGACTAATCGTTACAATAGTACTCTGTTAGTGCTGTGCTGAAATACCTTGATTTTAAAATTTAAATGTTAAAATTATTTTGTGTTCTGTGTCAAATGCTGATTAATGATATCCCATTAAAACTTAATGACTTTGTTCACACAAGGTTTAACAACTTGCTAAAAAACATTTTTTTTAAATGACTGTCCTTCAAAAAATTGCTTAAAAATCTCTCATGTTAGATTTTTTTTATCAAATCTTGTGTGCATGTGTGTGTACATAATATAAAATAACATCATAGTATTAATAATGAAAATAATTATGATATTATTAATAATGCAAATCCTTATATAACGTGTTGCCAAAGAAACCATTGCTGGATCTAAGGCTAAAAACCACTGGTTTGCAGCCATGTTTATTTCTCAAATTAAAAAGTGAATCGAACTTCCGTTCAAGTGCATTGCAATGAACATTACATCTTTTTTTTCAGTAACTGTTTAAGTAATAAATAATGCAGTGATAACTGAATGGGGAAAGCCATTTGTTAGTCCTGTTACAGTTAATGACTGATGTGGCAGTTCTGTAGTTTTTCAAGCAGCACTACATAATGCACCTGGATATCGACAGCACCGCCTGGGGTGCTGACTCTATAAATGGGGATGTCTGTTATCTACTTTGCAACAGAGCACCTGTATTGACTAACACCTTGTTCCCTAACCAAGAATCAATGTGCATTGAGAGGCCCTTGCTCATGTTATCTTGAAATGAACATTGACTGGACTGTGGTCAGTGACAGGTGTAGCTCTTATTCTTTTAATCTGCATTTAAAGGGTTAGGTTTACAACTATTAGTATTTTTTGCTATACACAACGTGAAAAGATAAAGATAAATGGCCTTTATTGCTAAGAACATGCGCTTTGTCTCGTCAATCTTCTGGTCCAAAGCAAAAACGTACAACTGGCGAACAAAAACGTTTCTGGTAGTGTGAACTGTGTTAAACATGGTTTACGTCAAATTATCTAGAATATTCAATTCGACCATGATTTCTATTTATTCCTACCTCTGTAAACCGCATTTTCAGCTCTCGGACGTAGTCAGTGTTCCTGCACTACAACCTATCTGATTTACGGTGCGCGCAAAATATGCAACGCGACCAGTGCAGTTCGATTCCGGGGCGAATGACTCATCTGAGTCGGTTCTTTTTAGTGAATCAACAACATACAACGCTATCAGTCCGAATCTCAAACAAATTACTCAAGTGAGCCGGTTCTTTTTAGTGAACAGAATCTCGCGAGTCCCATTCAAGAACGAATGAATGACCTTTACTGATTCGACTCTTTAACAGATTCTTATGAATCATCTCTGACCAAATCACAAGTTATTGCTTTCGAATTGAGATTGGCTATTAACTGTGTTATGTTGTAGCTAAGGCTCTTAACATCAGTATGGTAACTTACTGGCTGACAACATACGACACTGCAGCAGTTAGATAGCACAGATACACATATATGAGTTTTTCTACATTTACATTTACATTTAGTCATTTAGCAGACGCCTTTATCCAAAGCGACTTACAAATGAGGACAATAGAAGCAATCAAAACTAACAAAAGAGCAACAATATGTAGGCCTAAATGCAAATGACAAGTCTCGGTTAGCCTAACGCAGTACACGTAGCAAGGTATTTTTTTCTGTCGTTTTATAAATAATAATAACTAAATTACCACATTTTTGTTTATTTAGTGTTGTTATTTAATATCTAGGGTCAGTATGCCGCCTCTGTGAAAATTCATTTTAAAAGTCACACATGCACACTGCAAGTAGACCTATTAGCCTATAATAGATAGGCTATATTTCTAATAGGCTATGTTATTATTTCTGTTGAAATAATACTCATAAATCATAATTACATCCCAGCAGAGCCGCAATAATGCAATAAGAATTTAAATTTCACTTTGATTTGATGAATGACTCAACATGGCAAATCACGTCGATTTACTAGGCTTCAAATAAGAGACTAATGACAAACAAATAAATAAAAATGAATAAATTAATTTATCAGCACACTGAAAGAAGTTAAACACAATATAACGTAACCAAAACGTTTGTAAGCGCTGCAATTATACATTTTGAGTGGATAGCAATGTTAAAATGTAATTCCTCTGTGCAATAATGAGGATAAATAAAAACATAAGCTTACCAGCATCAGATACACGGAGCGCAGCTACAAGTGCTCTGAGCTCCATCACCGCAATAGCGCGCAGGAACGCAGAGTTTCCTTCAGTATTCTTCACATTCACCTGCGAGTGGATGCCGTTTTTCCATTTCTGCCGTGCCCGTATTCTGAACATATGTTTCTGTTAAGCGAGTAAGTACATCTGTCTTTCCCTCGCGCGTGCTCTCTGATACAGCACTAAAATGGTTAATGTAGGCTACGGGAGAGATTGCGGCTGCTGAACACAAATACCAAGTTTCAAACGGAGTACGACAGGTTATATCACCAGAGGGGGTCCGACAGTCACTGTCTCGGTAATTAGGAAACATAAATTATTTAAGTGTCACATTATGGCTCTAACACAATGATAGTAGGGTAAGCAGCTTGGTTCAGGGCTATTATGATAATGACTTTAATCAGAACAGATCTGGAGAAATGTATTATGTCACTTGCTCACCAATAGATCCTCTGCAATGAATGGGTGCCGTCAGAATGAGAGTCCAAACAGCTGAAAAAAACATATAATCACAAAAATCCACAAGTACTCCACACTGCTCCATCAGCTAACATCTTGTGAAGTTAAAAGCTGTGGGTTTGTAAGAAACAACTCCATCATTACAATATTTTTTTAATTTCCAAATGTTGATTCTGGCTAAAATATGAGTCCTCAATCCATAATATTGCTTTCTCCAGTGAAAAAGTTGCCTCGTCTAAGTCAAAAGAGAAATAGAAATACTTATGGATAAAGTATTGTTTTAAAACAAAAACAGTTGGTAACAGTTCTGTAATGTCAGTGGATTTTGATTCATTACAAACTCAAACATGGCCTCTTACAAACATGCAGCTTTTCCCTTCACAAGCCACTAACTGGTGGGCTGGAGTTGTATGGATTATTTGTGGATTATAGTGATCTTTCAATCAGCTGTTTGGACTTTCATTATGATAGCACCCATTCTCTACAGAGGCTCCATGTGAGCAAGTGATGCAGGCTAATGCTAAATTTCTCCAGCAGGTGAGTACATTTTCAGCAAATTTTCAATTCTGGATGAACTATTCCTTTAATGATTTATTGTAGAAACAAAATGACAAACCAATTGTCATGGTAACAATAGTCTTTCTGTCTATCCTTTGATTCAAGAATCCACCTCGCTCTGCTCTGGCCAATCATAAAGCAAGAGAAAGCACATACGGTCCTTCTTTCAAAAAACCTGCTCTTTGCTCCAGGCAACTGTGCTCCTCACTCAGCTTTCACTCCACACAGCTCACATAGGCTAAAATACTACTACTCTGGAAACACCACAGGTGGAATAACAGTAAGATGTTCTTCTTGCCTAACTGTTGAAAACTTTCCATAATACACAATGAATGAACAACTACAATAACAACAATAAAAAAAATATTTGTTATTATACACAGAAAATAAAAATGTGTACACACATCAGAGCTTGACCTTGTTTTGAACTCTAACGAGGGTTTTCTTGTCCCGTGTCTCAAGGATCAAAGTAACATGATATTTGTTGCAATTCCATTAGTGAACACTAGATGTCAAACACGGCCAAGGAAAATACACGTTCTTCACGGAAGTATCGCGAGTTTATCTCAGACGTGAACTTCCTGGAACAGTTGTTTGGATAATGGCGGACCGTCAAAACTAGCCAATGGCCGTCCTAACTTATCATTAAAGCCGGGAAACACACACCAAAAGGCGGGTAGCGGGTACAACAAACCCGCTAGGTAGGTACTAACCAATTACATTCTGACCTAAACGCTTAACGAAAGACAACCTGGTCACAGAAACGCAAAAAAATGTTGGTAGCGAGCTTTATTGGTTTAACGTTAGCCGGTTAGCAGCAGCTGTTAGCAATAACTTTCGCCAGAGTATTTAAAAACATAGTCCACAAATTTCGTTTAAATATTGTGAAACTGCCTAAGGTACGTAATTGTCGGTTGAAAATAGACGTCTTGTTGGTTGTTTGTTTGATTTAAGTCGCTGTTGGATTTCTCCTCAATAAGGTTGTTAATGTGAAGTTGTATTTGTGTGACTGACATTTAACGTTAACGTTATGTGTTTTGTACGTCAGCTGTTTTTCTTTATATTCGTGTATTATATGAATGTCTTAAGTCGCATATATATATTTTTTTCTTGTCTGTTAAGAGTACTGTAGTTCTGATTCTGTATTAGTATAAAGCGTATATGATGCTTCGTATGTTGCTCTTTAGCTGTAATTTGTGTTTATTTTCTCTTTTACTTTATTTTTTAAGTTACGTTTTATGTCTATTTGCTTAGCTCTGGCGAAGCAGAGTATATATATTAATGCGGCCAGACTCTTTAGAAGCCTCCGCTAAAGATTTTATCTTGAATTTGAATGTGATGTCAGCTGATCTCTCAGCTGATGCTGCTGATCTGTCATGTTTCCTTTTACCTTTAATTCAGCGTGATCCTTATGAGTGGTTATTGGGTGGGCTAATCAGTTGCTGTAAAATTAGCTGTGTTGATTCCAGCATCTTACTAGAGTGTTGTCAGTTTGATTTGTATAATATTTCTGAACTGGTAGTTTAATACTTCAAGACTTTGAGCTTTCACTGTCAAATCACCTTTTTCACTGGGTCTCGGTGCAGGTAGAGGTGACAGAATCACCAGCTGTCCGATGTGTCCAGCAATCCGGAAGACAAGGTGGACTCATGTCTCTGAATAAAGCTGCTGGAAAGTGAGTCCTGGTACATTATACGTTATGCATGAACATGTCCATCTTGCTCATTAGTCATTAGTAAAGCACAATATATGAATGCCTCATCCATTCAGTCGGTTAGTATTGTTTAAATGTGAGGAGTCATTAACTGAAACTATAATCTCATAACTGTATGTGTATTGTATGTGTTGTTTAATCAAGGTTAGATGAAGTTTCAGTTCCCAAAATGTGATATGAAATTGAAACGTTGGGTAGCTGAAGAGAGAGAGAGAGAGAGAGAGAGTGTGTGTGTGTGTGTGTGTGTGTGTGTATATGAAGATGGCGGGTCTTTTATGGGTAAATCAAAGGATATTTTGTGCTTTTCTTGGCAGTTGCTTAAAGCTGAGTAAAGCTTTGATTCTTTTGCTGTGCTTATTTTGTTCGTTTTTGACAAGTGTTGATTAGTTCAAATAGAATTGGATCAGATTGTCACTTCTCTCAATATCTCCAGTCTAAAGCACTTTGTTCAAGTGCTTGTTCTGTTTGTACTTCTACAGTTCTAAATCTAAATCTCTTTTATTAACAGGTGAGTGTCACAGGTGGCCTTATTATTTCTTATCAAAGTCCCTGGCAACCTAACACATACAGGCTGTATCTTTATAATTGGAAAAAGGGTTTAACTGAACATTTATGTTTGCATATGTGACCCTGGACCACAAAAACAGTCATAAGGGTCAATTTTTCAAAATTGAGATTTATACATCATCTGTTGAATAAATTTTAACGAGTACGAGTACAGGAGCTCAGTATCGGGCCCCATACCGGTATCGGTGCATCCCTAGTTTGTGTGTTGGTAAGCAATTTTTTTTATTTAGTGTTATATTAAAAAACTTTTTTTAAAAAGCCTTATTTTTATGAATTTTTTCGTAAAAAAAAAAAAAAAAAAAATACACATGCGGCAGGTTCACACACACACACACACACACACACTTCTCTCTCCCTCTCTCTCGTTCGAATAATTAATTCAAGTAGCTAAATGTTATAAATAATTAATTCAAATAAATGTGATATTACCACACTATTTATCTGTCTGATCTGAAGTGGGCAGAATACTGAGCTAACGAGCCGTAGCTTCGCGTCAGTCTTGCCTTCACGTCGTGAATTAAAATAGTTTAAAGCCGTGTATTCGCTCTTTAGCAGCAGTTTTTACGGCAATATTTAAATTACACCCTGGTCATTCTTGGTGTACCCAACATGGTCCCACATTATCGACCTTCAGTCATTACTCTGGTGGAAATAAAAGATCGCTGTTTGGTTCCTCTGTAGTTAATCTTGTGTGTGTAGTAGCCTCCGTGTCTCTGATAAGCACAACATTTAAAGCTGGTGCACCGCTAGTGTAACTTTGTTTTCGTTTTGCGCACATTGCAACTGTTCCATTCTGTGCAACAGAAACACTCGGTGTAGCGGAGCCTTTACGATTAATTAACCGTGACATTTTAAAGCGCGGTTAATTGTGAAACCGGTTAATCGCTGCATTCCTAATGGGGACACAAGCTCCGAAGATAGCGAGTGTAGTGGTACAGGCCAGGTACACAGAGCGACAGAGAGAGAAGGGGAGAGCCGAATTTAAACGCAAGTGCGTGGGTTAAGGTAGGAAGACACTGCAATTTGTTGCAACATCAGTCCCCTCAGAGAGTCTTCTCAAAAACAGGACAAATAATCACAGAGGGGAGAAATCGCATCAGCACATCCAAGCTGAGGCATCTGATATTTCTGAATGCCAACCTGCCCTTAAGACTAAAGTGTTATTATTAAAGTTTATTAAAATGTTAAATAATAGTATAATAGTATAATAATAGTATTTTTTGTAATGAAAAAAAAATTTATAAAAATAAGGCTTTTATGAAAACACTGAATAAAAAATTGCTTACCAACACACAAACCATTCACAATTGCTACATTGGGCTAAAATAGAAGGCTCAGAGTGATACTAAATAAAAAGCCATTTGGGAGCCGTAAGAGCTAAAGTTTTATTAAAATGTTAAATAATAGTATCTGTGTGTTTTTTGTTTGTAACGGAAAAAAAAGCATAAAAATAAGGCTTTTATGAAAACACCGAACCACACACAAACCATTCACAATTGCTAAATTGGGCTAAAATAGAAGGCTCAGAGTGATACTAAAT